ACGTATCGAAAGATATCAATCCTAATTCAATCCTGACACCCTTCAATGCCTCTTGCAATGTAGGAACACCGTCTCACTCTCCGAAGGCCCTTCGGGATGGCGCAAGCGGCTAATGAAACAGATCGCCTTTCCGCGCGGGGGTGGAGCGCAGGCTCTGGGGCTGTAGTAGGCGCGCGCTTCCTGCCGCCAGTTGCAGCCCACGCAGGACTCGATGCTTCCCAAGTCAAACTGAGAGGCATAAGGTCATCCAGTAAGGTCCCCATTCCAGGAAGTCTATCTTTACTTTTGGAGAGACACGATTATGACCTTCGGCCGACGTTATTTTTTTCCAAGTTGCAATTTGTGGAACTGATACGATATATATTCATTTCTAGGAGAGAATTAATTTTCAGGACGTTGTATTCTGTTCGTTCACTAAAGCCGAGATTCGCTACAAGCAAATTTCAGGCATTTATTATACCTACAATAGGCAGGCAAAAAAGTATTTAGTTTTACTAAAATAGGGATGAAAAGAATTTATTCTAGGTGAAGCAGGGATGCAAAAATGCATATAAACAAAGAAAAATCACATTCAAAAGGATTTGTTGTACAAAAGTGATAATTAAGTGTCGGGCCTTTTGGGGCGCCGACCGCATCGACTGAATGCTGGAGGCGTCACCGGATATTTCGCAATGTGTTTTAGCGATTTCCCCGATTTTTACGGTGACCAATGCATAAACAATTTTGCGGTACCTGTAGTTTTTGTAGACAGCCTTAGGATTTTGATAAAATAATGAAAAAATAACAATTCTGACGAATAATTATTTTGCTTATATCCAAATAAATGTAATTTAAGGCATTTAACTTTAATTTTCTAAGCTTTTTTCTTGATACCAAAATCTCGCTTTTTTTCTCAATTCTTTATACAAAAAAAAGGAGCTATAGGTCGTATGATACCGGTGGGTTGTGGGTGGCTCAGATTCACGATGCAAACATATCACTCGCTTCCTAGGGGGCAAGTCGATAACCTCGACTTAAAACGTTCTTCCAGGAAGGTAAGGGAAATGGAAGGATGACTGCTAACTGAAATGATTTCGTGTATTAATTATTTCCAATTAATCGAATGACTGTTACTTTCCAACTAATTATTAGATTAATGGTAATTGTTTTATTGCTATTATAATTAATCGATTACAATTAATTGAGTTAGTTTTGCGAGCACAACGCGCCGCGACTTAAAATACCATAGTCGCGTCGAGTCGTCGAGGCTGCGCGGCGGCGCCTGTTCGATCTGCCTGTACTGCCGCTTCTGGCGAGAACCGCCGAGAATGGATCGGTTCCGGGAGTTCCGATCCCGGCTCAAGGTCCGATAGGCCTTCATTCGTATACTCGCAGTTGTGTCATAAAAAAGAGACTCAAAGAAAATGAGCTGAAATGATCACGTTCCGTAGTATGGCCATCTTCCCTGAACGCAACCGTTTCAAGGGCTACTAAGGAAATATTCGCCATCTAATGGAAAATCACATTCAGGAAGTAAAATATTATACTCAAATTATTTTCAAAATAATACATCATTGTATTCCTCTTTGTAAGTTCTATCCATCGCTAGTGAGAAAAATAAAATATATAGTTCCACTTAAAAAATTGAAGATAAGTTTTCGAGATTCCTAGAAATATTACATGATTTACTTTATTTTTATGACTTTTGAATTCAACCGACTGGCAGTCCGTTGCTAACACAACCTTACACACTTTTTTTTAAAGAATTTTGTTCATTTACAATTTATTTCTACAGAAATGTTGGGTAAATGTTTTAATTATATATGTACTTTAGTGGAAATGTTACTCCACAGTAGCATTCCATTTTAAACAAATCGGTATATTGCATCTGGCGGTTTACGGGGCTCTAGTCTTCGTGACCTTACAAACTTGCCACCTAATTTTGTCGAAATCTTGTGTTTCTCCTTGTAAGTCCTAGGTTTGTCGGCACTGGCTACAAAGCTCCGTCGATTTCAGTCGCTGTCTGAATGACAATCCTAGCCGCCGGCTGCTCTGATCCGTAGTTTTCTGCTCAACACCGAGCGAATACCGGAGCAGAGCTTCTTCGTGATAGGAAACAGACACACTTTAACAAAGTCTTCAAAGAAAATTTTCAACTCTGGAAAAGGTCACTTCAGTGATCCCTCAAGGAAGCGTTATTGGACCTCTCCTGTTTCTCGCGTTTGTGAATGACCTGCCAGACAATTTAGTTTCGAAGGTAAGACTATTTACATAATATAATAATATCGAGTTATTTAAACAGAAGTAGACGAGGATATTTTACGAGGTAAACTAGAAAGACCGCGATTCTGCGCGGAAAAGTATAACAAGACAATAAAACAAAATCACTTTTGTTAGGGGCCGCAAATATATAGAAACTCAATACCATGCACTACACGTGCGGGAGTGATGTGTCATAAAATAATTTAAAATACATTGCATGAATAATTCTAATTATAATATGTCAATTGTAATATTTTTCCTCCAGATTGTATACATGTACTTGCAGAAATTTAAAATGTATTTATCAAAGAATTCAGGCATCTTCTTCATTTACTGAAAACGGCTTGAAGAAAATCAATTAATGTTTCTCTAAAATGTAAATGCAGTAGGCTGATTTATTTAATAAATTTATTTATTTAATAAAAATTTTCTAGTTAATTTTATTTTAATTTTCTTTGTTATATTTTCTTTTTTGAGATTTTCTGAAACAATGTGTTATTAATTTTTTAATACCTAAAACCAGCCACATTTCTGTGACTTGTAAAATACGTTAACATTAAAATGTAATGATGAATAGTTGTCAGTTGTTATTCATTTTTATTCAATTAAACAATAGAAGTTGTGAGAGTGCAAAATACTGTTTCTCTTCATTCAGCATGCAGTGCTCCTATGTGCCTGCTTTGTGAGGAACAATGGTGCGCCCACCGAAAGGTTAAACGCCAACCTTGTAATACAACTTGAACTATAATTAATAGATCACTTGTTGGACCTAAACTCTCTATAGACTTACAATTAATTACGCATTTATTAAAGAAGCAAAGGAGTCTTCACAGCTTTCTTGTTCCCTCTGCTGCGGGGCGACTGCATCACTCCGCGCCTCAATCCGTTGCGAGACATGACGCGCCTCCTGCCAGTACGCTAGTCGTGGTTATTTCTATATCAAGTAGCCTGTACTGTGGCAGTGATTTAATGTCGCGTTATTAAGTTATGAGCAATAATCAGATCTACCTAGTCATCACTCTTTCGTGATACTAATGAATGATTTGATTAGTGATTCCGAGCGCGTCAACAGCGAAGGTCATTAGTCTCGAAAGTGTAGTGCATACTTTTTCATAGGGAGGTGGCGACGTTCCCCTTCTGGATTCTACCGTCGGCTAGCAAGGTTTTCTCCAATCAGTTGTCTCCCACCAGCGCTCAGGGCACCGCCGCAGCCGGGACAAGCTCCAAGCTCCCGACCGGTCTCCCGGCATGTGTGTTAAGCATGTTAGTGTAAGAGTGTGTCAGGCGTGAGGATAGGACAAGGAAGAGTTAAGAAAGATCGCGCGCGGTCTGCGGCCTGTTTCGTACGGTACTGCTCCACCATTGGCCTGGTGTTGATCGGAGTAACCACGGTAAACTACGGATCAGAGCAGCCGACCGCTAGAAATCTCCTCCAGACAGCGACTGAATTCGACCTAGGTGACAAGCCAGGGTCGAAAATTCAGCCACGGTCGTGACTCGAACCTAGGACTTGCCTCTAGGTTGAAGGCACTGTAGTTGACGCCCTGAACAACCTTTCACGGCCGTGATTTAGTGTTGTAATAGTTTTCTTAATGGTCTATGAATGGCAATGACGTGTCCTTCATGTATGTACTGTGTCTTGAAACTTGGAAAAAATATTTTACTTTATTTACATCACAAGTCTTCCGATTTCTCGAAAGCCTTGTAGCGTTGAAGAATGAAATTGTGCGCGCGAGGCCACGGGGCGTCGGAGAGCACGGGAGCAATCGTGTGTGCTCGGAGCGATTCGCACGAGTAGCGGGACCTCGCTTGAAAGAAAGCATTGTTTCAAACGCAAATCTAGGCTATTGGTGATAAATGCGTTTACGTGTGTGTACACTGAAGTGCGTAATTATCAGGGTAGTGTGTGTTTATGCTTATACGTGCTAATTCAGATTTTAGTTCATCGTGATAAGTGAAACTACTACGTGAGTTCTACCCCTAGAGTAATGCAATCAGTAAGATTGCCACCGCTAGTGTTTCGGCAGGAAGAGTACAGACAGGGATCTTTGTCCTGCGGGCAGCGGCGTAGACGGGCCTGCACACGTGCGAGACTTGTGATATTTGAGAAAGATTTATGTTTCGTGGAACTTTGAGATAAGAAAAAAATAGTAAGGCCAGAAGTCCAACGCCCGACATTATATAATTCATTATAATAACTATTTCTTCGAAAACCTGTGGAAGGAACATTTATAGCCAACGTTTTGGAAGACCATAGACACAATTCATTACTTACACAAAAGAAGTCCTTCACCACACGCCATTTATCTATTGTATCCAGGTGAATCTACCTTTTCTACCACGATTTCTCACTATCCGGGTTTCGAATTTTGTTTTCGCATGGTGAAATTTAGTTTATATCTTTTATATAAATTAAAAATTCACTACAATTTGCGTATATCAATTACTTTGTTTATCATAATGGGACACATCTTTTGTACGTCAAGAATCAAAATAGGAAAGACATGGATTTCCAATAAGTAAGCTTTCTTGGAGAATTTTTTCAGTCGATGATAACCGATTCAAAGAATTCCCCCCTTCGCTCGTTGTCTTTCGGTCGTTGGGAGGGACTGGCGATATGCGATTTCTGCGCATTCGAATCTCCAGGTCGAGTGCGGCGCGCAAGCCGATCGCGTTTCGGCAGTCGGTTTTGAGGCACACGGCGGCGGCGGCGGCGGCGCGGCATGGGCCACGCCGCCGGTGGCCAGCCTGTTTAGCTTATGTCTTCCGGCCGCACAAGCACAGGGCCCAACGGGGGCCCTGTGCCTGGGACTGCTCGACTGCCAGGTCAGGCGCGCGCGGGGGGGGGGGGGAGGCAGGCGGGGAGAAGCAGGCGCCATGGACTCTGGGCGGACAGTGTGGCAATGGCAGCTGCGAGGGGCGAGGCGGGGAGGCTGGAGGTGATCACGCCATCGAAGGCCGATGAAACAACCGACCGCGACCTGGGAGGGCGAGGCCCGCCCCAGACTTCAGAAGGCGCGTGAAGTTCGGTCAGGCAGCACCGTGGAAGCGAGCTCTGTGCGCGACAATTAGCAACGGTGCGTTCTCGGCGCGTCGCAAAATCTTTACGTTATTTAGCGCATTGCTTTTTTTCTTGTTTTTTCTTTTTTTCTTTCCGATTCGAGTGAAATTATTTTTTTTAGATATTCGTGATCCACGTTTCGTTAGTGGTAAAGCAACGTCGGGCACATTAACGCGCAATTTACACTGAGCTTTTTTTTTAAGGTAACGTTTCTTATTGCGCTGTAACGCTCGTGGTTTAACCTCCAATAAATTGCGCGGCGCGAACATTACTCTCACAGCGGCGGCAACTCGGCGGTCGTCACTGAATGCATTTTACTTTGTAAGTGATCTCATCTTTCGCTACCTAGTGAATTTCTCGGTTATAAATGTAAATAAGGCCGGTCCGGTGGCCGAGATCGTTCCGGCAGTAGAACCGTTCGAGTCCCGCCTCGGGCATCGTATTTGCTTTCGTCCTTTCACCCCCTATCATCACATGTAATCTTCAGTTACCCTACCGTTAAATGCAATAGTGGTTGCGAATGACGTAATGTTGATACGACCTTTGATTAAAAATATTGTAAATTGATTTCTCTTATAACTGTATTTGTGGTCCTACTTTTTTGTTTTATTTGTGCTGAAGTAACGTGTTGTAATGAAACGCTTCGTCTTTCAGAGTGGGATGTGATGGCTGTCGTTGGCTGGCCGTCGTGAACTGGTTCGTCTGCGGCGTCACAGACGCTGGCGTGTCGCCGAGCCACGTGGGGCGTCTGCAGCAGGACGGTGAGCCTCACACTGAATCTTTATTTTCTTGCAGCAAACTCTCAACGCATCAACTTGGTAACGAATGTATTGTCGCATTTCCTCGTAAACACCTTGCAGCCTGAAAATGCCAGACGGAATGGATTCTTGATTTTCGATTCTCGATTTCGGTTTCGATTCTCTGCTTTCTACAATTTCGCTGTTCGTAATTTTGAAGATTTAGATCAACCGAACTATATTTTTGAGAAAATATTTCATGGGTATAGTATGTGTTTAAAATAAATTGTTGAACATGTATTTTGAGTTTGATTTACAATATTTTGGTTAAAAGTAGCATGAACGGATACACTTCACTAAGTAGAATTTGAATTTGTCGTTACTAAGACGCCAAACTTCATGCAATTGCATAGTTTTACTGTTGCGCATATCGGAAGGAAATGACATTACCTACCACTAAAAATAAAACCAGATGTAGGCAATTTTTATTTTCATAATAGCGTACTTCTGAAACATTTGTGTTTAGGTGCTTATTTTTATTTTTGCGAAATGTTTAAGTGCATATATTCCTGGTTTTTGTGTAAAAGTGGGTGGAAGTCTTGTATATTTGTGTATTTTTCTAAAGGAAAGTGAATAGAGCCATGCCAAAGATACATTAGTATCAAAATATTGCTGTTTGCCTCCTGATCAGATTGTTTTCGCGTGAATCAATTTATTTTTTGAACTTTATTTGTGCGCGTGACCTTCATGAACTAGACTGAATTTTACGGCATCTTGTAACAATGGTATAAGTTTCTCACTTAATTTTTTTGTTTGATATTAATTTTTTATTATACGTTACGTTGTGTTACTATGGGTTTGTAATATTGATAATTTTTTGTTTAACACAAATTTTTAGTTTAAAGTGAATATATTTATTTTAAATGCATACATTGCCAATTTTAAGCGAATGGTACCATGCATACTTTCCTTTTGGTTCATGGAATTCCGGGGTCTCGTTACAGCATTAGGAAGGATGAACCTACCTATGTAGCCGAGAATTTAATAGATGGTGATAGCTTCATATTAGCGCTTATTTGAAGAGAAATATTTATTCGCACTTAATGAATTGTTTTTCGAAATGTTATTTTGATTTTCTTAGCTTAAAGAAACAAAATGCGTTGACAATTAATAGTGTTCAGTGTTAACCCACATTGCTAGTCTTTTATTTCAATGTTGTATTTAACTTCACGCTAGCCGATTGATTTAGGTTCGTTGAAATCCATCGTTGTTTATGAAGCCGTCTATTCTTTTTTGAAAGCAGTATTAGGGTTATTAGTATTATTAATCTCCATGATGTATATAGGTACTCCTTTACTGTTTACTGTGATTAGTATACCACGATTTTTGGACAGTGTTAAATTGTGTCGATGTACCATTCGGTATTGGCGTGCTCTGATTGGCCCGTATGGGAAAAGTACGTGAATGCCCATCCCTAATGAAAATGAACGGAACGCTGGATAATGTTTCCGTCTTGAAGTCTTGATTATAAAATTGAAGTCATGAACATAATTTTTCTGCATAGCTTCCTTTTTGTGCCATGCATTCAGTTCTGGTAAATAATTTTCTCTTAGCGCAAACGCTAGGCCTATTATTAGCACATCTTGCGTTTTTGTTTCATTCAGTTGTGGTTTCATTGCAGTGTTGCAAATTACTGCTTGGCCAAACTAGAGCGTGCCCGAAGTGTGAATTAATCGCCGAAGTTAATTCTTTAAATTATATTCGACATTGCGACGAATATTGCCACTCGGATGTAATGTAATGAACCATCCAACTTAGACCACCAATAATACTCTTATTATTAGATAGCAGATTTTTACGATTTCCCTTTTTTTGTTCGTTGCTTCTGTGCTAAGGTGTTTAGATGAAGATGATTAAGTTGGTACATCTCAGTACATATTCTGCCAATTTTTCCTGTTTCCTATTCGCGCCATTATAGCAGCTTATAATGCCTATTTCGGTATAGTTAAGAAAACGTCAATTTTTCGTAGACAAATTTAGTTCAGTAGCGATCATTGATTAGAAAAGTTTGGCACAATTTTCTTCCTAGTTGAAATACTTCTGCAAAAGTACGGTATTCCTTGATATGTTTTTTAAACCAGGCAGAAAAAGTGAAAGAAGCCCTACGATGTACCTCACCAAGGAGAATATTTCCTTTAATTATTTCTTCCGAGAGCCAAGCTAAGGTATATTTTGTTTGCATAAAAATGTATATTTTCTTCTTTCCGAGCATGCTTCTCCTGAATTTTATCAAGAAATTTTTATTCAAGAAATAAATATTGTCAAATTTAATGGGATATTTAGTGCATATTTTAATTGAATATTAGAGAGAAGTATATTTGATCATAAGTGGATGTTTCACAAAGCATATATCAAACTTTTAAGAGCATAAAAATCCGCTCCCTACTTATGATCGCTTTCTTTGGACCCTCTAAATATTTTTGATTGAATTTCGGTGGTTTCCTTTGATAATATGCATTTGCCTACATTTTCTTTCAGTTTATTTGGTTTGGGTACTAATAATTTTTATTGTCACGTATTTTGAATTAGGTCTTCCGGATTTTATATCTTCTGGGGGCTCTAAAATATTGATCCACGGTTCTGTTCACGCTATTTTCCGTTCATAATGGTGTATATTATTTGAAGTGCACCGTATGTTCTTCAGATTTCCACTAGTGATCATTTCATGCGGATATGATTGTAGCTTATTGCTATCAACGAATTTAAATTTATGGTGTTTCGACATGGTTAGAAAGAAAAACTATATTACGGACGATGAAATTGATACCTGTGTACAGATAGAATTTAGTGTTTAACTGGACGATGTCCTGTAAAGATAAATATTGCCTATTTAACTATGTATACTACGAAACGTAGGTATACCTAATTTGAATATATAAAATTTAGATAGGATTTATATAAAAAATGTAGTTATATAAAACAAATACGATTTGTTTGATTAAAATAAAAAGGTTAGTAATAACCCTGATAGTACTTCATTAAACTAATATTTCCGAGATGCAACTAATGATCTCCACAGAATTTTTGAGTTCGTTTTCTTTGCACCGTAATTGTAATGTCGGCTATTGTGAGATTTTAATCTAAGGTTCCTAGTTGTTTCTTTTAAATTTATTTATTTTAATTGTTTTGTACATAGATCAGTTTTACAACTTTACTTATGTATTGATGACTAAATAAAACTTGACCAAACTTAACCATACTTAACAGTACTACAGATGTTGAGCAAACCAAATTGCTCTCTTGGGATTGTTTTCGTTAATTGTAGGTGATTTATAAGTCGTTGGTGTATTATTATTTGGAAGATATTAGACAGATGGTGCAAAAGTTATAGCTCTTAGCTGTCGAAGTTGGCTGAATTGTTTTGGTTTTGGACCCGAGGAATAATGGCATGGTTCAGAGTGGATGGAAAATGATTTGTTCTGAAGCATGAATTGTATATATTTGTTAAGTATGCAGTTTCGGGGGCTGGTAAGTTGTTTTAGTATCGAATTATCGATATTATCATGACCTGGTGCTTTTTTTATCAGGAGAGAGTTAATGATTTGTTTTATTTCTTTAGGTTTTGTGAAATGAATTTGTGATATGGCCGTAGATTGGGGTTTTATTGACTAGATTATTGTGTTGAGTTCCGGTTGCGGTTTAGATAGGTTGAGTGTGAAAGTCGTCTCAATGTAATTGGCTATTTCCTGTCTTGCCGGTGGGGGTGAATAATTTGTGAACTGATGGGTGGAATTATTGTTTTTTTTTAGTATTAGTTTTGTAAATTTCCGTATAGTTTTTATGCTGTTAAAGATTGTATCTTGTTCTGGAATTCGAGAATTATGACTTTTTACTGATTTCTTATCTAAAACGCCATTGTCAGTCCAGCCAAATTCGGGGTGACTAAAGGCAGAGTTTCTCAGTAGAGAGCAGTCCAAACAAACTTTTATAGGCTGAGTTCCCTTCAACCAAAGGATGAAGCATTGATTACATCAATAACTTCTCAATAAGCTTGAGTTCAGCTGAACGGGCTTGAATATAATTTTTCACGTTTTTTTGTAGGTTATTTTAAAAACAAAGAGTATTTTATTATTAGTTTTGAGGTGGTTTTAGGTCATCAAAATCCGCCTCCTAGTTATTTTTAGAGACAGGGTTTCCATGCACAATTAAGTGATAAAATATGCAAGCAAACGTTAACCATCAAATAGCCGATGGGAAGATGTTTCCACAACATGCACGCAAATTAGTTTCGTTTATTTTTTTTGTTTTATAGCCTTTTGTAACCGTTCTTTTTTTTAGAAGTCTCGTTCTTGGAAGAATCTGCTGAAGCATATTATAATGTAAAAAATGTGTTCTACCAGTCTGGGACTGGTAGAACTTTTTTAAGCTTCTGATATGAACTTTGTTACTTAGAACTTATGTTAATATTACCGAAGTAGTTAACTACTGCTATCAGTGCTAACCTCGCATTTGTAACTTCTGCTAGTTTCGAAAATTCAGTGATTTTACAATGTTTTGGCAAATCCATTATTTATAAGTTTTCGATAATAATGCACCGAAAATCAAGTCCTGCGAAATTTTTAAATGGATATTTTTCTATTCGAAAAAAAATGAAGCAAAATATAGGGGCGGTTTTCGGGAAAATAATTGTTAAAAATCGTTAATTTTCTCGGCATTTATGCCAAGTGCTCTTTATTTTCGAAATTTTGTATAAAGACTCTTGTCATTCATTGTCTGATATTCATAATATCTGCAAGGAATATATTCCCGTGACAACTCATTTAAAGTTCTGTCTTTAAAGAATGGATTTTATTAGTGAAAAAGTCTTATCTTGAAGCCTAACGAGGTGAGTGCGTGCCCGGTCGCAACGCAATTTTTTTGTCCGGTTCTCTTTGTATTTCAGTATAATAAACACAAGTAGTGTTTGTACCATGAATAATAAAAATATCCCATAAATATAGGCCTTATGATCCCTTAAATATAGG